ATGCTTTGCGTGTAAATAAAATGGCCCTGTCCGTGTAATATATTTTTAAACTTTAAAATTAAACTTAGTTTAAAAATGATAAAAACTGAACATCCTACAGTATTTTTGCAGTCTTTATTTTACAGTGAAAGTATATGTTTATCATATAAAGTCTAATGTTACAACTAATCGGGGATCCCTTTAAGAAGACAAAGGTTTCACTCTGCTTTAGCTTCCTATTATGGGAACTGATCTGTTGACACCATCTTACRGTCAGGTGGCCCAGTTCACGTCCTTGACTGCAAAGATTTTATCGCCTTCTCTCTCGGTCTCTCTCTTTGTGCAGGATTGAAACCAGGAACTGAACATCAGACGGGACTCAGCCCACAGAAGGCCGTACAGCCCATGGCCGTCACTTAGGAGCAAAACAATCTGAATTTATGCAACTAGGCCAGGAGCTGAGGCCGCCAGGTGCTGGTCACACTATTGTTTTGTCATTTTCYTCCACTTACTGGAACAGATGGTTTACGGTGCGGCTGTCCGATGAGGAGAAACATCTGGCTTTGAGTAAGCAAGGCCAGACTCGGTGATTGTGGTCGAGGCTGGTTGTAGAGCGATCTGATTAGTCACAACACCTTTCCTCATCACTTTTATTTTTGGCTCAACAAAAAGCCACAAGCAGTGTTTTTAAYCCTCGTGTCCAACAGATTGCTAAGAAGGCAAACCTGAAATCATCAGAATGAGTGTGTGCAGACAGCGCAGGCACACAGCTGATGTTTCCACAGTGAAAAGAATCCACAGTCTGTGTTTGGTTTTAGCTGCAAAAGCCCAATCAGGACTCAAGATGCAGCCTTTTCTACTGTTTTATTACCAAATGAGGACCTTGTAGGTAATCTTTGCTACCAAAAGGTGGGTGATAATATTTTTGCCTGCATCTGTTAGCAAAATATCATGCATAAATATCATGAAGCGCTTGACAGATTTTAATGAAACTCTGGAAAAGTTATCACTGATTGTTCCTCCATAACTGATTTAACGTCAATTCAAATCAAGATGGCCACCACTGATTTTAGCTAATACAACAAATATCTTTAACTCATTCAGTAATGCAGACACTGAACTAAAATCTGATGCAGTTGTAGCGGAAAGCATTGACAAAACATATTTTARGATAACACACAAAGCATTATGTTTGACCAAAATGACCCTAACTCTTTTTCAACACACGACAAGTTTAATTTAAAACTCTGGAATGAAAAGTTGTGGGTAACATGAATTCCTTCAAGGAATGTCGGACCTTTAATTAGAAGCTCATGTGTGATTGTGGCTGGTTTTGTTGTCTTGCARTGGGAGGTTTTGACTTAGTCACTTAAAGCTGACTTGACCTAGAATTTTGAGCTAGCACTTACAGCCAGGCTTTGTAAAATCATAAAGTAAACTTGTAAAAAAAAGGGACAAAAAAACTTTTAAATCCTCGAAAGTGCAGCTGGATGCAAAAACAGAGGAAAAGTTTGGAAAATGTGGATGGAGGAAACTAAATTAGAAATAAACGGATCCCTATAGATCTTTGAATGTGTAGCAGTGAAATAAGTTCAACAAAAATAGGTAAAGTTAAAATATTTGTTTTCTATAAAAGTGGAAGACATTTTATGGGTTCAAGATGGAGAGATATAAACGCATCACCTTCCTACAATAATTGCCATCTTATTTTTTTCCAGAGCTTTTCAAGAAACACAAAAAGCGTCACGTTTAAGTTTTGGTTACGGTTTTTTTTGTATTGCCTGAAAAACCTTTTAACAAAGTTAGATTATTTTAGGAAGGTGACAAATTCAATTTGCTGTGAAAATCCAGTGGAAATGCTGAAGAAGCTGAAACTGAATAGTACTAAAAGAATCAGAACACAAGCTAAAAGTTATAGATAGCCAGACGWGCTAAAAGTATTAAAAGGTGACCTACAAGAAGCAAAAAGCTAGCTGTAGCTTTAAAAGTATCAAAATGTCAGCTAAAAGCAGAAAAAGCCTAGCGAAAACYTAAAAATACCAAAAGACCAGTTAAAACCTAAAAGCAGCAATAGCCTAGATGTAAAATAAGCAAAAGGTTTGTTATAGGAAAACTCAAATGTTCCAAAAGACCAGCTAAAAATACTGTACTATAGCAAAAGGCTATCAAAAAGAGAAATGCAGGAAAGTGGAAGCTATTAGCTAAAACTAATGTAAGAAGACCAAATCAAAGCAAGTTTGCTGAAAATAATTTCAAATAGAATGTTTTTGAAGAAACTGCAGAAATTTTAATGTGTTTGTTTATGTTTGTTGTTAATGGGTTGAGGAAACTACTTGTAAATAAAGTTGATAGAAAAGTTAATAAACAAAGTATCTAAAAAATAAGATAAATGTTACAGAAACCAAAAGTCATAGCTTCTCTCAAATAAGCTCAATGTTTTGATATATATATATA